GATTCTTAATGACACACAAATGTCATTCAGAGCAGTTAGTGTGTTTATTAGACATTTATAAATATAACACAAACATTGAGAGACGATATTTGGTGATCGATAAATTGACGTAAAAATTTATCTTTTTTATTATGTTTGTAAAGTTATTATCAATCAATTACAGCTTTGTTTTGCTGTAAACAGGCTCGATAATATTGGAAGTGTAAGTGGAAATAAAAGAGAGGAACCACATGGCTGATCTCTTCAATGAAAAGTTATAACTTATATTTTTATATTTTTCACTGTGAAAATATCTAATATAAATTCACGGATAAATCAATTATCCACTCAAAAGAATAAAATAAATAAGCAATAAGTTAAATTTCGAATTACCTTCGGCGCAAAGCTATATTTTACATAGTTGACAGTTTTCAATTGAAAATTATTGGCCACATACGACCTATATATAAACTTATTAACCTTTTCGCTGATTTAATTTTGCCGAAGCAATCCCTCATCTCCGGGGCTACCTAGACGGCGGTCCACTGTGCGAACGTTTCTCTTTGAACATACCTCAATTTCATAATATTTTATAGTAAATGACGCTTAAATAGCCCTGGAGCTAAACTAAACTATATTTAGTATATTTGAAGTAATTTTAAACCATTTCTTTCGCATTATTTCCTTAAACGCTATATTCAGTGAAACCGCAATGCAAGCATTCTTTCGTTATATTTTTTCGACATCTTAGTCAATTTGTTGGTACATATATACGGGCAAATTTAAATGTGTTTTTATTACTTGGAAGTCGGTCCATAATTATTTCCCTTAATCTGTTTAACACTGCTTTCGTATTTAATCGGAACACCTCGCCGACTAATCTTAAGCCGAAAAGTTGCGTTTATTCCATTATCGGAACATTCCGGCGATTATCATTGATCAAAATTAAAAAGAGGGCAATGGATGAAAAAAAAAACTTTGGTCGTAAAATCCTGATTTACTTTGTTGCTCTGCTTTTTCTTAGAGTTCCATCATTTCATAAATATTTTATATTACAGACAATACGGTAAAGAGCATCAACGCTTTAAATCCAAATGGAATGTTGATTGAGTTTACGAGATTGTTCAGACGAACCTAAGATGTCATTGTTCGTTGTCATGAATAGCACTGGATTAACAACACGAACAATCGACTTAAATTTCACGTCTGGATCGTACCCAAGTAAGGAAGTGTCTAATTCTTCTTAGTTATTTACAACACTTAAATTGCGTCGAACTGTCATACCTAACATACTCATTCCGGTTTGCCCGGAACATTCCGTTAACTTCTGTAACCTTAACAAAACGGTACCACAGCACCTTAAATTTCACGTTTCTCTAACGTAACATACGATATGGTATAATCTGTGTTAAGGCGACTTTGTGTAATTTTTACGCAGTCTATTTTCATTTATTGATGCATAGATTATTGTTAAAATAGTTTGAGAAAAAATGGCAGAATCAAGAGAGACATACAAACTCAGCTGAAAATAGTATTTTTTGGACTATTCTTAGCCCGATTTAAATGAAAGCCGTAAAAGAAGTTTTTCTTTTGCGGATTATATTAAACAATTAGAATAAATAAACCGGAAAAAAACAGAGTGAGCGAATTATATGAAATTTTGAACCCAAGTTTTTAGGTTAGACTTCATGTGAAATATTAATTTTGAAAAATGTATTCCACTCCCGTCATTTCAGAGAAACTCAGTGGAGTCCCTTGAAGCTACTGTTAAATATGAAGTAACATCAATTGTGATATTATAAACGAGGTGCTTCTATGTTTAACAGATGTTTGAGATTTGGTACTTCATGTTAAAGTAGATTGGTCTAAAGTTGGCACATATTTAATAAATATTTCAAATACTGATAAAAAGGAAACAAAAGAAATAAATCATTTTTGATATTCGCACAAATTGTATCATGGATGATTTAGTATGAACATTCTTATGAATAATAATAATATTTTGTTCCAGAGCACTAATTATTTTCTATACATGTATATAAATATGCAATATTTGAGTATGTATCTTACGCATATCAACAACATTCATGCATGTATTGTTATTGTTTTTTCCATAGTTCTAGTAATGTTGTTACTGGGAAGTTAAGTTTATTTGATCTTTTTTAATTTTTACGAGAGAAATATGCTAAACTCGAGGATTTGCCTTTCATCTGAAAAGTAGCTTAACGTTCATTTCGAGTGGAATACTTTTTTTTAGATTGGGAAGTCTGTAAATGATTGCTTACTGTATGTATCTGTATGTATACTAGCACAGTAAAAGTGGAAAAACTGTTTATCATTATATTTACAAGTTAAATGTTGATGCTGCACATTAAAGACCCCGCCAAATCATGTGATTCACAGTCAATCAGCATTGAAAACCGTTCTCTATTACAGTTGAACATCCGAAGCACAAATCAATTCTTTCTCCATGTTCTTGGTATGTGCTCGTTGTTTAATAATTAAGTTGCATATTTTTTGAAAAAGTATAGCCTTAGCAAAACTTCACAAAGTAATACCATGTCTGAAATTCTGAAATGTTTGTCTGTTGCGACGAAGATTGAAACGTCGACGCAAAATAAACTGAATAACAAGTAAAATTGAAATGATTGGTATACTTTAAATCATACAAAAATATGTACCGAGGATATGTCCATTTAGATGTTGGTACGAATTGCATAATGTTCGAATGATTTTGAGGACGAATTTGTTCTGAACCGGTGCGCAGAGCTTGGCGTACTTTCTTAACGGTTGAGGGAGAACCGCCTTTCTGATAGTGGGCGTGGTTTAGGCTTTGTAACTTGCAATTAAAAACTATGAAAAATGCTTCAATACTGATGAAACTTGGCACAAATGTTGACTGGACCATAGCCTCTGTAACAGAATGCCCAATCTTAAATTTCATGTTACCACGGCAACGGGGGGACGTCTCAAAATTGCCAAAATCACTATTTTGCATTGTTTTTTCATCAAAACCGATTTCAAAGTGCTGCAACTTCTAAATGGATTGAGATAAAGTAAAAGGCTTTTCAGCGTTGGTTACTATCGACCTAAGGCGATTTGTAGACTGACACATGTTAAAAAACAGAAGGGGGCACATCCCCCTTCTGCCAACCCCCTTGATTTATGTTTTTGATTGGGGCGGCGCCGAAAAAGTGATCACTTTTTAACAATATTTCTCAAACGAAAAAAAGTGTTTGGTGCCTAAATAGGATAGTTTTTCACTTTTTGAGGCCTCAAAAAAGGAGGGGGGTCGAAAACATGTGAAAACACGTCTATTTAAGGTAAATGGTTAACCTACCGACATGTATACTATGATTCGTAAATTAAGAACTCGTCTCGAGCGGCTAAGATTGTCTACAATAAAGATACAACCGTCATTAGAGAGACACCCTAGGGGATTGTAAGATGTTTGTATCGATGCTTAACAGATCAATCTCCATCTTCATTTTCCATGTACTATTTCACGAGGTTGGATACCTATATTGATCTCAACTGAGCATCGGTAAGAAAATATATATATGAATTTCTGCTGGTCCAGATGAGCGCTTTAACTCGCTATGCGAACTCTCTGTATATCAAGTAACGCAGGAATATGCAAAAGAAACGCAGAATTGTGCAGTTTTGCGGCTAAAATGAGCACCGCGACAAGTAAATAGACCAATATTTTTATGGCACACCTAACTGGAAAACATAAATTAGAGCATACGGTTGCTGAGACATTATACTTTAAACCTCATCAAAAATATTTCCGTGAAAATGCTTATTTTTCAAGATCATTCCTGACTAGTGAATTGATGGCGACTTTTGTTTCGTTGATATCTTTAAATAAAGTAATGTACAAAAATGCACATATTACGTTATGAATTTTTATATTCGGTGTACCTGAGACATTTTACAATCCTCTCGTGTCATATTACTCTTTATTAAGCAGATAAAGCATAAATGACACCATTTTTAAAAGACAACGCAGAATTCGTGAATGAAGCACTGAAGCAACGGCAGTTATCTGATTTAAATAAGTACAATCTTTTTTTACCGGCTTCCTTCTGTTTTATACGACACTTGTAATTTGACAAACGTCTTAGTTATACAGATTATAAAAAAATAAAGTTTTAAAAGTGTTTAATGTACATATTTCTTTGACGAAACACAAAAGTCACCCTCAAATCGTAATTAGGTTGTCTTTCTCACGAATGATATATAAAAGTAAATATATTCCTGAAAAAAAATATGCTGCAGGTTAAAGAAAAATGTCGTAACAGCCGTATGCACTAATTCATCTCTTGAAATTTAATTTAAAACAAAATATTTTGGTTCGTTTACTACCTGTGTTATTCGATTCTTATATCATGCACCTTTGGATCTCTTCAGCACATATGGGGCTCAGTCGGAAATTCCTTTACTTTGAGACCAATCTCAGTAAATGTTTCAATACAAAATTTGCCAAGACGAACGCCACATCAGGGGCAGTTTTATCAACGTGTCGTTGTCTACGACATTTTATTGTCGGTGTCGTACGTCTGCGGCAACGTCGTACGACCGTTTACGACACGTATCGCTTACGTCGTGTTCCTCCGAAACTGATATGAAAGAGAACTAATCGGGATGTGCCAGAGTGGAAGTTGCGCTGGGGAAGTGACTGAGACTGTTACCATTCATTCATTTATCCCTCGGCATCCAGTCACAAAGACCAGGAGGAGAATAACCAGCAGCAGGTTAACGAGGCAGTCTTGACAGGTTTGAATTGTTTGGTAGTGTTCGACCACAATATACTACTGCCATAGACAGGCATAAAGGTTCAGACATAAACAAAATGATTATTTAGACACATAGGACCACAAACATTGTGATTAATAGGGATATGAACTTTACGGAGTGAAGGCATACAGATGACACGGACAGGGGCAGCATAACAGAAAGAAAATAACTATCGTCGTCTTTTTCGGATAAAAAGAACACAGAAACATTTTTTTTCAGCTGTATTTATTCATCGATAACAAACATTGCATTCCTTTACTTTATGAAATATTTTCGCTGTGAAAGTGCAGGTTCTAAATGATCTGTAGAAGTTTGATTTGATGTTTCAATACGTACGAGATTATATTAACAAACTTACGAGATTTGAAAGTAAAGATTATATTCATAAATATACGATGGACATATTTAATGCAATAATTTAGGACAGAAAATCATTAGAAAGTGTTAGAAATGCGTTTAATAAAGATTCGTTTGTTTATCTATATTTAAGTTTACGGTGGACGTTATGATTAAAGTTGTGATTAACGCTGGTGCGTGTACCCGGAACATTATTTATAATCTTCGTTTCCTTCGTCTTAATTGAGACGTCAAGGTCTTCCAATTTGTGGGTCAGTGCGTTCATTTTGTCATCAAGAAATTTCAGAGCATTCTGAAATTCACGAATAACATCGACTCTAGACTTGATATCATTTAGCAACGGTGATAGTTTGTCCATATTAAGGTTACTTTTAATCCAATCGACTTTGACCGTAATAACCTTAGCAAGCTCAACTTTTGAGTTAGCCTTTTTATCGATTTCTTCGACAGCTCGTTTCAGCCAATCGACTTTTCCATTTAATGAATTTAAAGTGTTTTCCAAGGAGTCCACTTTAGTTCTGATATCATTCACTGTTTTTTCTACCGTCTTCAATCTGGTGTTGGTGTCTGTTGCAGTAACTTGGACGGCGTCGACTTTAGTATTGATTTCATTTGCGGTGTTCTGTAATGCCATTATTTTACCATCAATTGTATTAAGTAGAACAGTTTGTGCAGCGATTTCAGCTTCGAGTGCAGTAAGCCTTGTATTTATCTGAGTAACCATATTGTTGATCGAGTTTGTGACCGTCTGTATATTGTTTACATCAGTCTGTATGTTAGCCACCGCTGTTGTAAGCGCGGCAACAGCTGCATTGATTGCGTTTACCTGGTTTTGCAGATTATTTACGGTGTTACCAATACCGTTAAGTGTATTCTGGAGCCCTGCAATACTATTGCCATTGTTAATTACCTGGTTATTAATGGCATTTGCTGTATTAAGAAGGGTTGTTATCTGGTTTCCTTGCGCCTGCAAAATTTAAACACAACCAAGTTATATCACAAAAGAGAAAATATGATACAAAAATATTGAAAATGTTTCAAGCTCGATTTGATTGCGCCTATTCAGGGATGTCATTGGTAGAAACAATATACAATATACTGATCATGAAATCTCAACCTATTTCATTTACTAATAAAGCCAAAATTAATAAGGATGTTAACGATGACGAGGACGACGACAATAATGATGATGATGAGAGACGAACTGTCTTTGATATGAAAATCCAGGAAGAAAAGCGATCTTATAAGACAATTTTGAATTTGGTGATTTGCGTACGAGCTGTGAAAATAAAGTTAAATGATTAACTATAGCAAATTAAAAGGACAAATTTTTGGCAAACGAATACTTTGGATTTTAATTGAAAGTCTACCCATAGCGTCCCATCTATCATGAAATTTCCTTTTATACAATGTTTTATTGGAATATACCCACAAGTTTTACCAATTCAAGGCATGCCTCAGTCGGGGGTGTTAATATTAATGCCGTAAATTTCTGTTATAAAATGCATCTTGTATAAAAAAAAAACGAACTTATCAACTCTCCAATGGAAGTGCTCACCTTTAGTTAAACATAATTATATATATTATCTACAAACTCCGACCCATTTATTTTTACTTTAAAAGAAAACATTATTAATCATAAAAACAAACATATCTACATGTACCTGTTCAGAGACCAGCCAGTAAATGTGTGATGTGTGATACTACGAGGATCTTACACCAGCGGCCGGTACAGACCGGTATATTTAGCTCGATGGTAACTGTTTACGGTGGTAACAAGTCACCGTTGAGTTTCCGATAAACAGTTACCCGAGAGCCAGATATTCCCGTACATGGCGACAGCCAGTGTTTGATTCTTTTTTTCTTGCATATTGAATAGTAATCATATTTCGGAAAGAAAAGACTAAAAACACAGGAAATCGGCACAATGTTTTTACTATAATTATACAGTATATATTTTTTCTATAATTTCTTTTTACCCTATCCCAGCACTGTGCCGAGTCCCTGTGACTAAAATTGCTATTTTCATGTCGCACTTTTATCTCAAGCACGATACTTGTCTTACACGGCGGTGTCATTTTAAGAACAGAATTCTTTCGTACAAGGCACGCAGGAATGATGTCATTTAAAGTATGCGACTTGCCTTACCAACGATGTAAACAGTGACATAATCTTGATTGATATGCACTACTCGTAAGAGCAAAAATATGTCTCAAGGTAAGAGTAAAAGAGAAAATTTAACGACATAAGTTATAACTTAAAGGTTTGTGTTGAAAATCCAACGACGTCATGTACCAGTACTTTGAAAGGTAAGCATTAAAAGAGTGTCTATAGAAAGTTATACATAGCAGTTTAAACATTCTACATTAAAGGATGTTTAATTCAAAATAGTTATATTTTTAAATCTAAGACACATTTCGTTTACTCACGTTCTTCTATATCCGTAATTTGTGCATAACAATTTGGCAGAAATTTTCTAAAATATTGCAGAAATGTACGTTTATTTACATGACGAAACCATGGGACATGAAATCTGTTTTCGATGCTTCCTTAACTTTAATTTTTTTTTTAAATTAAGAACCATAACCAACTTATGCATTGCGATATAATTCATATCTTATTGGCATCTTATATATTCATATCAAAAATTAATGTGTTTTACACAAATGATAACTTACAGTCAAAGCTGCAGATAAAGCTGTGATGACAGCTGCTTGTGCATTCACTGCAACCATGATCTATAAAAATAAAACATAAACGTTTAAGAATAACAATTACATTATATAAAATATAAATATAGATAAAGAAATTCGAATAGCTTGGCTTGTATATAGGCCGATTTTAATTTTGGTTTGTCTAACCAGCATTGTAGGAGCACATTTGTCTCGGAGCACATTTGTCTCACAAAGTGTGACCGATGTGTTCATAAAAATTCATTTTTGCGACAGATTGGAAATGAGACAGATGTGTTCGACACACAATAGTAAGGACACTCGAAGCACATTTGTCTCACATTTTTCCATAAAATTCTAAAAATTTAATGATTATGTCTATCTGTATACCGGCCACCAGCCATTGTTCTGTGTTTTCTGTATTTATAATACCGTTTTGTGGTCACTTCCGGGCAGTCAAAAATGCATAGAATTCATATATAAGATTATAAAGAATATACCTGTTCTGCATGTCACAATGAAAATTTTTACAAGTGCAGCATCCAGAACTTAAACACATATAGAGCAAGTCTATTCTTATCGTTATTAATTGTGATACTTAAAGTTTCAATGCTTAAAGTTTTATAAATGATTTATGGCACTAGAAATATTCTTAGCAAAAAAAATGGTAGTATCTACGGTGGCCTAAAGGGACATAGAATTTTCTTATTAGTTACGTGCGCACACGATAGCTTTTACGTGGCCACGCGATACGATTACTTCGCACGCGATAGCAATTACGTGCGCATGCGCACACGCATTTGGACCCTGATCGGGATTCTCGCAGGAATAGTTCGACGCCCCGTGTATGTGTCGAGAGCCTACAGTGGTTAAGGGCAAATGTTACTTTTAATCACTCGGCCACGGAGGCCCGTAAATGATCTATTAAAGAAATTCAGAAGACCATTACACACTATTTTGTTTTCATCAGAAATATATGTATTAAAATCGTCAATCTATCAGATCCGCCATTGAAAAAGCACTTCAAACATGCACGAGTTCCTGAAATAATCCGAGTTATGCCATGATTATGGAATATCGGGCGACTCAGAATCGGGCGAGACGCGACATTCCGATGAGACACGAAGCGAGACACGAAATTGTAACACGAGAGCTCACAATGTCGAAGTATCCCATACCAAGAGTTTTCCGAAATGAATAAATTTTTACTTCTTTAGATAGGGCAAGTATGAATTCATTAATATTCAAATAATGGTTTCTGAGGAAGGTTCATGCTTGTTACCCAAAGAAATTCGCGATAAATGTAAAATAATGCGTCATAAAAGTAGAAAAATGTAAACAAAGTAGTATTTTGACTTCAATACAAAATTCTAAATCACTTCAATTGTACAAACTGCAAAAAAAGCAGCAGCTGAAAAAATGCTGCAGGTAATTAGCCAATAAGTATAACTTTTTGGAGCTATAAAGGTATACCAAAAATAAAAAGCTTTTGAAAAATACAAATCGTAGCATTTCTCTGGCATAATTGGCCTTTAAGTGATTTTATGTAGACTATAAAGGGAATACTACTTAGCGGTATATGACCTGAAATCAATTTCTTGTCTCGCGTCGACGATCGACATGCGCAGCGAGACGCGAAATTTCGCTAGACGCGAGATTTCGGCGAAACGAGCGTTCAATATCAACCGATTACGGTGTTCCGTTTGGACATAAGTAACATTTTTGCCTCCCTGAACAGCTATATATGCACAATGGTACAATGGTAAAATTGAGATAGTACGATGATTAAAACACGATGGCACGATGGTGAAATCACGATGATGCGATGACACGATAGAGAAAATAATATTGCGTTTTCATCATCATATCATCGCAGTTTCATCATACCGTACCATCGTATTTTCACCATCGTAACATCTTCTTTCACCATAGTACGATCACGTTTTCATCATCGAGCCTTCGTTGTTTCCCCATCGTCCAATCGTTGTTTCACTATCGTACAATCGTTGTCTCACGTTCGTACCATTGTGTTTTTCACCATCGCACCATGGCGTTTACATCAACGTACCATCGTGCCATCGCGCTGTCACCATTGTACCGTCGTGAACGGGATTAAGTAGTTCAGTGTACGCTTTCAGGTTAAGCCAATCAATTTTTTGAATTAGAGATATTATAATTAATAGTTCACTTTAGGTTTTCATAATGAAAGCATATATAAGCAAACCTATTGATCATTACACTTGACATGAGGTGAAACGGCGAACCTCGATTCTAAAAAGGAATTTCTTCTGTGAAGAAATATTTGACAAATAATTCATAAAAAATGACATTAGACAAATGTGCTTTTTTGTCCCTTAAAACACATTAGACAAATGTGCTTTCTTGTCCCTTAAAAAACTTGTTCGGATCATATTTGTCACATAAATGAGTTTTTTGGGGGAGACATTTGAGGTCTCATTTGTCTCATGTGGGACAAACACGACCGATCGGTCTTACGTAAGACAAATGTGCTCCGAGAAAAATGTGCTCCTACACAGCTTTCCTCAATAGCAAACCAGTGGCTACCAATATCTCTGCGAATCAGCGGTGAGACAAAAATGTCCGTGATACTCGATGTCCGAATCAGTTGATCATGGGAAACTATGCCTCAATCAAGGAACAAACAAGTGATCCCTGGTTACAAGTCTGGTGCTTTCTTAATTGAGATAAAGGGGAAATAACATTAAACACCATTTATGTTAGCATTTATAGAGTTCATAAATGAAATTGGACCTGTATACTATATACATGTACCGGTGAATATCACATTACTAGTGTAGTCGCCTAACAGCCAAATGCTTACTGTATTTTATTGACCTGACATATGAGAAAATGTAACATTCACTGTAGTAACATTACCTGTAAAAGTAAACAATAAATAAAGGCATTTAAATGACATTTATATTAATAAAAAATGTTACATAATTGAAAGAATTAACCTGCAAAATATATATACATATGTGCATTGCTTTGAAGTTTACGGATTTCAGTTCAAAATTCAAAACATTATAGAGCCTGTTTGGAGTACATGGATTGGTTACATATTTGTGCCAACAAGTTTAGGGTTAAATGCGATGTCAATTGAAATAGTCCTGTTTTCGGCGAAGTTCCAAATCGTATGTTATGTTAATTAACATCAGAACTTTATTGTCAAAACTCATAATAATTATTGATATGATACGTATTAAAGTTCAATATTCAAGGCATCAATGATGACTCTGGTATGAAGTTGTGGTACTGGTGATTTTTCACCCCGGATCATGACAGTACGCCACATTGAATTTGCGACATGGCTTTGTTCATGTGCAGGCTGAGCTATTTATCAATACAAACTGTACTCATTGTCTTCACCTTCGCTAGGAACTGTAACAGTTCTGTGCGAATGACCGTAAAAGCAGGACAAATTTTATTTAAGGTGTCCCTTTTACATGTACATGCACTTGTTTTACGTTTGACTATATGAATTTTGTAATCCTTTACAAATTAACATAAAAGTTAAAACCCTTTACATTCAGTTTAATTTAACTCCTTTATGCAATCGATCAATCCTAGAGTATGTAACCAGAACATTTTTTTTTGTTTTACGCTAAACATTTTTTTTTAAAAACAGCACTAAACCTTTTTCTTTTAAATGTAAAATCCTTATTTGTATTTTTAATAAAAATGGGTATAAATTTTTTGAAAATATGAAATTGTATACTGAGTATATTACTCATATCTCATATTGAGCAATTACAACATCCAATCAAAACCATGAATCACGTTTCATAGGTCATTACCATATTCCTATTCAAAAATATAAATGCAAATGTGGTTCGGGTTTTCTATGGGACAGTGCAAGAATTTGAATGAAACGAAATTAAAAATGAAATATTAGTATTAAAAACATTGTATCCAGTATAAGACTATGACAGTGTTAAAAAAAGGATTCCGTTATAATCGTCCACAATGGTTAACCAAAGACCGTTTTTCGCTTTTTTTTTTACTTCAAATCATTAAAATCTCAAAAAGAAAAAAAAGCCAAACTTTATCCCCTTCGCTCATCATCATATTATTATAACAAGAAAACGTACCGTATCGAGTGTTGCTTGGCCATGAGTATAACAAATGAAAGCCCCTGTAATATACAGGAATAGGATAAGAAATCTTCCACACTTCATTTTGACGTATTTAACGTGAAACAAATCCGGATCTATACAGCTCACGAAGTTCAACGTCTCATCGTTTATATACCTTTCAACATAAGCATGCAATCCTGGAGGCCCTTCTGTTCGGCTTATGTAATAAAATATAAATTAATGAAATAAATTTTATAGATATTGTAAATAGATTCATGCCACACTGCACGTGACGACTTGCGTTGAAGTCATGAGTCCGCAAAAAGACGTGTTGACCGTTGAAATCACGAATACCTAATTGTTATTATCAGGGCGTGATGTGTGCTATGTTTTGTGAAATGCGCTATATGTTATTCGACAATAAATAAACTTTTATTTGATTTGATATTCTTTCAAAAAATAGACATATACTCTATTCTAGCCAGTGGTGTACGCTATAACAGTTATAGACTTATGTTTCGGTCAATATCTAGTTTTTTTCTGACCTGATGAAAATTGCCTCGACCACTGACTATCGTCTTCGGTCAATTAACTGTAGTCGGGTTTTAAAAAAACTATATTATATACCTCAACATTAGTCGACAATGGTATAATACCCGCCTCTGCAGAACCTCACCTGTTTCGTTCAGTTGACATAAAAAACACACATTTCTATAAAGGTGATGCATTTTAACCAATATATAAGTGTTGGTTAATAATATACCTGAATTAAATTATGATAATTGCGGTTGCTTATTTCCTTAGCTCTAAGTCAGTTAGGTTTGAACGTTCTTAAAAACTAATGATGAATATTATGCATATTTGTATTAAAACCCTGTAAAAATACATGATAGTCTACATTGGTTGTTGCTGTTAATGTAGCCTTTCCGTAAAAAAAAAGTCTAACATCGGCCAATTTCGTAATAAATCGGTCATTTCCGGAACGTGTTTTATTCCGTATTCAATATTTTGCCATCGTTTATAACCGGAATTTAGTGCATGGCGATAAAGGAGAAGAGATTGAAATCAGTTTAATACCCCCTCCCCCACCCCCAAGATTTTGAATCAAGATTGAAATAACCGATTCGTTACGATACTGACCGATGTTAGATTTTTTGGCGGAAAGCATTATAGTAAGACTACCTTACAGAGATTTAATCTAAGTTAGGGAAGTTTTACGAAGAGGTTATTTATCTTACAAGTATTGTTAACAACAACAATCAAGTGTTGATAATAAACGTTTAAAGTGGCGGCATGGCCGAGTGGTTAACGCATCGGACTAGTAATCTAATGACCGCTAGCCGTATGGGTTCAAACCCCGTCAGGGGCAAGTCGTTGTTTCCTTGAGCAAGAAACTTTACACTCATTGCTCAGTACTGGTTGGTTCCAGGAACGGATTCGAAAGTGTGTCTATAAGCTTATAGCTTCCTACACAATCGAACTAAAATAAATTCTGTATAAACCAATAAACGTTTACCAAATGAAAACATTATTAAATTGCCTGAATTACACTAATTAAAACAATTTCTTCATGACAAGATCATTAGAATAAATCATGTGCTTATTAGGAATCTGGCACCATGATAATGAGGTTATTGTTATTATTCTGTATAGAATGAATTCAGTACGGGGAATAGGCCTGCATAGTATTCACAATCCAGGTCGTTTCGTGTTCTTAAAAGAAGTACATTGTCTTCTTTTTGTTTGTTTCATTTTTTACGCCTTTTCCCAACAGTATTTCAGTCATATAGGCGGGTAGTTTCCTAACCATCGTTCCTGGAGAGTTACACCAGTACTAGACTACCTTCTTTCGCACTAAACTACCAAAGCATCTCCCGGGGATCGAACCCACGCCAGAGAGATAACTGGATTAGAAGTTATCGACCTTAACCCCTCGACAACGGCGGCGGTATACATTGTCTTCTAATAGCATAACAAATGAAATTCTTACATGTATCATTTTGGTACATTTAAAGTGACATTTTGCTCTTTTTTTCTTATTCAAGTTGATCCCAACTGATTTTATTCTATTAAAAGATTGACTGTTATTATGGTGATTCACAAACATTTAATACTGGAAAATCTAATGTGAAAGAAGAAAAGATATAAAAAGATTGTCCGACATTTTTTTATGTATTAACGTTACAGGTTTTTTTTGGCGATACATATTTACAAAAAGGGTCTAGGTCCACGTGAGTTATTAATCGTTCATCTGAAGAAAATTACAAAATTGATAATTACAGAATGATGACAAAGTATAAACAAAATTTGACTTCCACATGTTCACTCACTACCGTTAGTTGGACAGAATCTCTCTTTAAAATTACAGAATGTCAATCTAAAATTAGACAGTATGGTAAAATTTATAATAAGTACATTGAAAAATTAAAAATCGATTTTTTTTGTAGATTCCTCGTCGGTTTTTTTATTATATTTGGATAATTGGGCAAAATAAAAAGATAATCCCCGCGAGACGTAAATAACAATAACAATGACAATGGCAATGATGATGATGATGATGATGATGATGATGATGATGATGATGATGATAATAATAATAATAATAATAATAATAATAATAATAATAATTATAATAATAAATTCTTACATGCATCAATTTGGAAATTAGAAAATTAAAAGAAAGAAAATATTTTAAAAAAAATAATGATAAAATATATACTAAAAAAATCTAATTCGTTTTTTTCGTCGATTCCTAGTTTGATTTAATCTAAAATCGTTTAAACGCTTTTCAAAACGCTTTTTGGATCAAATGAAGTGTATTGTCAAAAAAGAGAAAAATGAACATGATTAACAGAAAATTCAATTTTTTTTTTATACATAAAGCATTTATTTTCATCTTATGGAGGTAAAGGTAAATTGTTTATTAAAGTGACATGTGTTATTTACAATATAATCATATAAAGGTATTTAAAACACCCTATGGAATGGAAATCATAGTTAACTCGTGAAATACTTATTTTCATACCACTCGATGAAATAAATCCTGTATTTATAAAAAAAAAACAAAAAAAAAAACTTGAATATCTTCTAAATATTAGTAAGCGATACTGTGTTTACCATCGGTCAAATATGCATTCATGTATATTTTGGAAAAAAAATATCTAGTTTGATTCTCTAAAACGTTCATCGTCATGCAAGAATTTAATAAATTTAAATTTAATCTTATTACATGATATAAAGAAAAAAAGTTTTTGTATAGCTCAATATAATTTTGTGAGTTTAAACTGATATTTTCAAAACATTATGACCAAAGACATTTAATTGATGCGCATTCTTAATTATTTCCTGAACGCAGTGCACTATACTATAGTAACTGTCTCTTGTATCCAACTTGATAACCCGGCCATCTGTACTTCTGCACTATGATTAGGTGTTGGACCTCAGTGAAGCTTCTTAACAGCTCTTATATTTATCCAGCTATAACAAGAGTTATACATTGTAAATGTAATATGGAAATATGATGTGTTTTTCTGTACAGAACAGAACAGAACATATATTTTATTTTGAATTAAGCATATACAGATCATCTTCATATACAACAAATATATACATGCATGAATATGAAAAATGGTACACTCATACCAATAAATGAAATAAACTAGTGAGAATGTAATACAACACATGTGATATATACAATCCTTATATAACTTTAAACAATAAAACAAGGTGGTCTTATATAGCATTATCCGGCATTCAATGAATCAAATCTTGATTTAAAATATTTGTTACAATGTATAGCTAATTTTGTTAACACTGACTTCTTTTCTGAATTCAGAAATTCTAAAAATTTAAACATGCTAGGGTTCCTTGTAAAATAGTTGGATATATACTATTTCCTAAGAGAATCATACAAAGTACAAATCAATACAAAGTGATATTTATCTTCGATGTCATTATGTTTGCAAATAGTACGTTTCCAGGCATTTCTATCAATATTATTATGTTTACATGTTTCTATGAATAAATTGTGAGATGATAATCTAAGTTTAGCTAATATATTTCTTAATGTCATAGAGTCAACAATATCCAGGTATTTAGACCTGCTAAAATCGGTTTTGATATGTTTATGCAAATATAAAGAAGAACAAATATGTACACTAAAATGCCAATTTGTGACATGAATATCTTTTAAACGACCATTTAGGACTGGTATAAATACATTTAGCTTAACTGATTCTAAATACATTTTATGTAGCAATTATTTATTTCAGAATCCGCTATTAAATTTTACCGTCCAATATATTTCTTTTATCGGACTGGAAATGTAAATTGGAAATATGATAGGTTATTCTATAGCAATTATTTATTTCAAGATCCGCTATTGAAAATCTATAACAATTATTTATTTCAGGATCCGCTATTGAATTTTACCGTCCAATATATTTATATTATCGGATTTGACACAGTAGTATCTATCTCTTTTACTGGACAGGCTAGTTCGTGTGACAAATTTTATGACCGTCAAGGATAAAAGCTGTCATTGACGAAAATTTACAAGAGGAATGCAAATATCTTACCGGTAAAGACCTTATTATGCCACATTTTATGCTCCCTGTATATATAATTTTGATAAAGACTTTATCGTCACCGTTAAACTTGTGCCTGTACTAGCGGTTGCACAAAATAGTTTCTGCAGCAGCTGCTATGTATTCCTTGAGATCGTTTCCCAGATAGTACAATTCAATGTCAGAAAACATATAAATATACATTTTTATAGTCTTTCAACCATTTGTATTCCAAGGCGTCATATGAGGTTTTACGATGTTTGATTTTAAAAGATTTGAAAAGTAATTTTGCATTTTTTCATTTTATTTTGTACTAATTTTTAAATGAACGTTACTGTACAAACGAATTTGAAATTTTTGATTGATTATTTATCTAACGGGGACCAAACCCCACCCCAAAAAAAAACCAGCACAATGTCTAATCCGCAAACTATTATAATATAGTACAATTTTTTAAGGCCTTCAATGTTTTATAGGAATAAACGCAACGTGGACATGTAGCTTGTTGCGCAATATATAAATACAAACACATTAGATTTTTGGAGGCATAGCATTTTAAACGGTAC